GAAAGAGGCATGTGTACTTTTCTGTTTCGGCCTCACTGTGGAGAAGCTGGGTCTATCACACACCTTGTATCAGCCTTTCTGACAGCAGACAACATTTCTCATGGATTGCTCTTGAAGAAGGTATTGCCTGGTTGCTCACTTAAACCAATCACCATCTGCTTAGAAATCAGTCACTGGTTCAAACAACAGTCACCAAATAGACTTTATCTGGGTAGCCCAAAATTATCTTAGCAAGGCACAAGTAACTCTTTGCTTTGAACAAAAATACTTAACCTCAGCTGAACTTCCTGGTTTTTATTTAAGCTACAAAAATACAACTTCTAAGTGAATATTATAAAGCTGTGTCTTTATAGAGAAGATCAACTGTTCAGATATGACAGTGACTTGGCAGCACCTGTGTTTGGTGACTCCAAGCTGAATTAAAATTACATGGAAAAACTGCTTAGGCATGTTAGACTGGGATCGCTTGATTAAGAAGTTTAACATAGCTGAATATAACAGCAATATTTTATATACAACTTGATAATTGTGACAGGACAAATGCTTTAACTTGGGGCATATTAGTTAATAAGAACCATCATACAACTCATCCCCAGGCCACCATTTTGTAATTAAAATAATTGGTCAATGGGTGGCAGACTTGCACTGTAGTGTATTTGAAAGAGTAACTTACTTGAAAGAGTAACTTACTTAATAACTTACTTCTCTTGTAAGTTGAATTTTCTGGTTAATGCTGGATAACTCTGTATTTTTCAACATAACCAAGGACAATGAAATATTTTGCCTAAAATCTTATCTATTGTTATGCTCAAAACCAGCAATTCCTAAAATTAGACTAAGTGCCAAGGCCATATGTGGCAAAAGCGTTCTCCTCCTCACTCTCTGCTTCTTGGCCTGCTGTGATAACCTAGCACAGCAGATGATAATAACAATAATAAAAGCATTTGTTAAGTTCACAGGTTGGTTAGCCCAAAAATAGTGATAAAGATGAGGTGACCATGAATTATTTGTATTATGTACAACAGCAACACATGACTTCTAATAAATTAAAACTTATGCTCCTAAAATTCACCTATTTGACTGTAGTTTCAAAAATAACAAATTGCTTAGCAGCTGTTACATGTTTGTTATTGGTGAGTTTCAGCTTTTGGGGGAGGGTATGCAACTAGTATCAAATGCAGTGCCTTTAATGGTCAAAAATACTAATCTCCAGTAATATTATTCATCATATCTTTATAAAGAAGAGAGTACATATGTTGAAGAATGTAAACTTTTTATTAAGATTAGTAACATTTAAAATTCAGACTTTTAAATAGTTTCTAAATAAGTCAGAGTTTAGTATCAAACTAAATTCTTGGGGTCTTTGTTCTCCCTCTGGAATGCTATTTCCATTTTATGCAAGGGAAATCCTTCTGCATTATCCCATAGTACTATTAAATGTGGACTGTGTTTTGTTTTGCAGAGTCCTGTCCTCCAGTACCTTTATTATCTTGCACAAATACCCATTGCTATGTCTCCACTTAGTAACAACAGTCTATTCCTGGAGTACTCAAAAAATCCACTACGGGAATTTCTACACAAGGGACTCCATGTCTCTCTCTCCACAGATGATCCTATGCAGTTTCATTACACAAAGGTAAGAACTGCAAAAAGCACTGGAATTTGGCAACAATACTACAGGCCCAGAATGACCTGAAAGCTATTTTATTTCATTGCTTAGGATATCAAGTGTCATGTCTTTCAGTCACTTCATTCATTATTCCTCCTCATTCTCAGTCTACTACTCACTGTTAGGTTGCAGAAGGAAATGTCTAATTTCCTAATTATGTTTCTTTTGTACTCTTGCCTCTCTCCAGTGTTGGCTGTTGAAGTATAGAATGAAGGATGAGGCTGAAGGGAGGTTTGAGCCTTCATAAACAATCCTCTAGAGTGCCAGGAAAGTCCAGTTTCCTTACTAATAAATCTGGGGAAGTACATTACAAGAAACACAATGTGGAATCTCTGAAGATGATGTATGAGCTGTTTGCTCAGTGAACTGAAACTGATTCTTGCCCTGGGGTGGCTTGGCAGGACAGAAGTGCCAGTGGTCACTGGTTTTAATGCACCAGTTTTGTGGTTGGCACTGACCTGAGTCATGCCATGCCTTAGAGTGGCCTGTACATTGCTCAGTTGTCTGTGTTTTGAGGACAAGCTGCGCTCTGGTGTGCTCCACTCAGGCTTCTGGCCCATGACATGGCTGCTAGAAAAGGGAGAGATCTGCTGTGGGGGCTTTCTGCATGGATGTAAGACAGCACTAGCCGAGTCACACAAAGTGTGACAGATCTTCAGCTGTGACAGCCTGCTAGTCAGACCCAGCCTCCTTGCGTGGAAGGTCAGAAGTGAGAAATTGCCCTGCTGTCTGTGGATATATTCACTAAGATGCATAACTATGTCCTCTAAGGTGCTTGTATTCCCTGGGAGCTCATTTCAAATTGCCAAATAAATGCCTCTAAGTATCTGGACTGCAGGCTGCAATTTCTTAGACTAAGATAACTGGATACCCACTGCCTATTAATTATTTAACAGCTGCCCTTGGGAAATTTGAAATAAATAATTCCATCTGTTTATAATTATGATGTTAGTCTTAAACCTCCAATTTTTCACAGCTATCTAAAGAGCATGTATAAATTCCTTAATTAGTAATGAGTACATATCCCTATTTACATATGATTTAATATTAAACCTATTTTGGTGTGATACAGGAAGCTCTCATGGAAGAATATGCTATTGCAGCCCAGGTGTGGAAACTAAGTACCTGTGACTTGTGTGAAATAGCAAGAAACAGTGTGTTACAGAGTGGACTGTCAGATAAGGTAATTATGGCTGAAAAAAATACCTTTTGTGAATATTAGGGCAAGTAGGAACTGGTAAGTCAATAGTCTGGAAACTGAATAGTCAGTGCTTATATAATGTGTTCTTGCACATTCCTATCCTCTTTTCCAGAAATACTCACAAACTATCTACTATGCAGTTTTACATTTAAAAAAGTACTGGTGTTATATTTTTCCTCATTAGCTTTGTGTTGGAATTCCAAAACATGCAGAGAGACCAGGTGCCTGTTTATACTCCTTTCTGCCTCCAGTTTCAAAACTTAAACTATTTGGGTGACATCCCCTTGACAGTCTTCCATTGAGTAAAAATAAACTGCCTGTCATAAGCAAGACATGTTTATGCTTAAAAGGGAGTACTACAGAAAATATATAAACCAGAAAATATTCTGGTGTAGATATCCAGATTAGATTAAATCCCCTTTTAGCTTTAAAATTCTATAAATCCATGGCTTTCCGTAGGGCTTATTTTAGAGTATCCTCTCTTCTATGACACACTCACACATTCCTCTCAAAGAGCTTGTACGAGAAGGGGCTTTACAAGTATATTCTGTTGTTTTGTCCAATATTCTCTAGTGACAATTAAGATTTTCCTCTTGTGCCACTTGTTTTAACTAACAAAAGAAACCTAAGCCTCTTTTTGCCTCTCACATGAAAAGTGTGGTAGTGAAGACTGAACACTAGCACAAAGGGCTTTAGCAAGCCTGACTGAGTGCACTGCTGGGTAATCATATATAGAACTTTGGCCTTAAAATCTCCAAAACTGGTTCACTGGGCAGCTAGTTGAAGCAGCTCTTTTCACTTGCACTGGAGTAATTCAACTAACTGATACTAAGTTACGCAATAATCAGAGCAGTTGAACTGACTTCTTCCCTTCTATGTTTAACCCCATTCACAGGAGAAGCAGAAATTCTTAGGGGTGAATTTTCATAAAGAAGGGCCTGAAGGAAATGACATTCGAAAGACAAATGTTGCACAGATCCGGATGGCCTTCAGGTACGAGACACTGTGCAATGAGCTTAGTTTCCTGTCTGATGCTATGAGAACAGAAGAGATTTCTACACTGTCGAAGTAGTTACAAACTCAAGGAAACCAGATTTCATTCCTAAGCAGGATAAGCTGCAAATTAACATGGAATTATCTGTTGTTGATGCTACCAAGACATAAGTGAACAGTACAAGGTAAAACAGAGTATCTGTGGAAGGTGAAGAGTATTTGCTGCTACCTTTTACTGAATTATTCTCATTGCAAAAATTTCAGTTTCTACAAACATTAGGCTTTCTAAGATTGCTGTAAATAGTAAATGCAAACTCAGAATCATGTAATACTTGTTTCATACTGTCTTAACTGTGCACTGTACTGTAGCTTGGAAAACAAGAGAATATTCATAGCACATCTGTGATACACGCCTTAGGACTGTGTAGATGCTGGCAGCAGACAGGCACCTTTTTGTCCTGCTCGTCTCAGTAGCAGTCATGGCAGTCAGCACTTAGAAGCTTATCCCTTTATTCATTTGCAGTTTGTATCGGGTGCATAATTTTGAGGCTAGCCTTTCATTCTGGAAGGTGTTCTGACAGTTTTTATCTTACTGTTTCAACAGTTCCACAGGAAAACTAGAAAAACCAAATTCTGTTAGTCTCGATTAATGACTAATTAATTTACTTCCTGTTATCACGTACTATGTCTGTGAAGAACAGCAGATTGATGCTTTTTAATCTAGTAAGCAGAAAACATGGTGTCAAAATCATCACTATTGTACATTGTAATAATACATCTAAATATATAATGAAAACTTTGCCTTGAAAGTTGAGAACTTTTTTATTGCTTTGTAATGGGAATGTGTGGATATGCCAGTTCAAATTACTTGGAAATTTGTGCAGATAATTTTGGTTGCATGTAAAGGGAAATTTTTACTTGAACAAAGGAAGTGTTCTTATGAATCAGTGGTAGAAACTCCAGACCTGGGTTCTGGTCCTACTTCTGACATCTTTTTACACCTTTGTGTTTGTATTTTAGTCAGTTAGAGTTGAATGAGCAGTAAAACTGTCTAAGTAGACAGAAAGTAGCCCACTTGAAATGTGTCATTTCCTGTCATGTTATGTTAAACTGTTTATGATGCAGTGGCTAGTAAAAACAGCTACTGGAATATTTATCACTTTTTTTTTCTATTTGGTCACATTCTTAAGACATAGTATTACTAATTCAGAAAGGACTGAAGGTAATTACACAATACCATATTATTATATATGTTATGTTGTTATAATGTAGAAGTTGCATGTAGTTTCACACCAAAAAAGACTTGAAGCTAGGGGCAGCAGAGGATGTTGATGCCTGCAAGTCTAATATTGCACTACTTAATTTACAGGCCTCTAGTCCCTAAGGTAGGATCTTGAGCCTACAGTTAGAGACCTGGGCATCTAATATAGCACACAGGGAGGTCAGGCATCTTAGAACTGTAATTCAGAATGAATGCAGAAAAAGCAAATAATGAATACTAGTCAGTCAAGCCTCATTAGACCTATAACCCTGCATGGTTTACTACATCAGATGTCTTGTGCCACTTGTATTTCTTTGGGCAGCTACATCCTTTCTTTCAAGAGCTGATCAGGTCTCACTTTCCCTTACAAATGCAGCCAGAGTAGCAGTGGTGACAACCAGTACTAAACAGCTCATTAGTGGCATGTGTATGTGCATTGAAGACATACACTTTCCCCTCAGGCTGTGGCAGTTCGAAGCTCTACCTAAAGGGACACTTTTTTTCATGTATCTGCTATCCTGAATGGTGATTGCAGGGAAATGGCACCAAAGTAAGGGAAGTAGGAATTCCCTTTCACCTCCTGTCAGAGAGGCAGAGAGAGATTAAACACGCAGGTCCTTCTGAAGCAGCCTGGATATAAGGCTGCTCCAAGGCAGACCTAGGCACAGGAGCAGAGTTCTGGCCACCCAGTCACCATTACAGTTAGCCAGTGTCCTGCACAGGGAGCAGTAGTGATTGCAGATGTTCTGCTACCAAAATATGGTTGCAGACAGGTGGTGCGAGACTTGACTTCAGCTCTTCAGTGACCTAGCCTAATGTCTGCACTGTTCAACTGGTGCCAGATTTTGTATTCCTTGTGCAGCTAGAAGTCGTGTGAAACTGTGCTAAGCTGCTCACCTATATGATCATGAAATTATCCAAAGCTCTAAGTCAACGCTGCCTATTGGTCTCGATGTTAGTGGCTCAAATAATGCATTATCAGGTAGTTTTCTTAGGATGGAGTCTGAAAATAGTGGTTCAGGCATTTTAGCTGTGTAAAATACCTGATTTCATTAGCACATTTTACTAATAAATTGTTATCAACATAGCATTATTTACATAAGAAAAGCATCTGTGTCCAGGCTAAATAAAAACATACTTGATTTGAAGAAATTAAGTATTTTTACCTAATAAATGTTGCTTTACTTGTGTTGCTTCACCTGAAGAGTACTGTAAGTACTGCTTTTGTTGTTACTTAGATTTCTTGTTTAGTTTTCTGAATATTATACCAAATTTTTGTATGCTTAATACCTTTTCAGATTTCCTTACCTCACACACTCCAGGTTCTAATGTCTGTAGCTCTTATTAAAGAATAAAGCAAAACTGGATTTGAATATTCAGTTAATGGTCAGGAATTGGGATTTTTACAACTGTAACAGTAACACACAAGAGGCCACAACCACAAGTTCTGCTTTCTATGCTTCCTTGTGTGCTGCTTTAAGAATAAATTGAGCTAACCATCCACAGTAGCTTCCACTACTACATCTCTTCTGGTCATCTTTTAATTAGGCAAATGCTATTGATTCTCAAGTTCAGTTCTTAAACTTCAGCTTTTTCTGTTTTTTTAGAAGTTGCATTTTTGTTCTAATGTATGGCTGTACAAAATACCCTTGCAATCTTAGGCTGTGTGTGCAAAGAAGGGCAGATGCAGTGTTCAAGTGTTAATGACATCTGAACTACTCTTGTACATGTTTGCTCAAATGCTCAAGACAGGGCAGTGGCTGATTCCTCCCCTGCCCTCTGACAGTGTTGAGAGCAAACCTGGTTACACCACAGCTTGTGTTTTACTCAAAGAGGAAATGGAAGGAACTAGAAGGACATCATTGTAAATGGTGATTTGGAAGGGTGTTACTTCAGAATGGGAACATATCCTATTTTCTCACCATTTCATTGGTCTTAAGCTTCAAATATTGTTCAAGATGTCCTTAAATCTGTTTGCTCAAAAGCATTTTATAATTTCACCTGACATAAATTATGTATTTCATGTTTACAACATATCTGAACAATTTCTAGTGATGCTCCTCCATTGATACTTGAGCAAACTTCAGGCATTTACTCTGCCACTAGATAGTAATTTTTTTTCTCACCCCAGAGCTCTGTTATCTTCTTGTATCATTGTTCTTTACTTGTGGCTAAACTTTTCTGTTCTATTTGCCTAGTTAAAATGCCAGTCTCAAAAAGGTGGGAGTGGGATGTCTGTAAAAATGGCTTTTTCTTTCTGTGCCTGCACTAAATTATGTTTATCTTTTGCCTCTTGTGGAAGCATTAAACATTACACAAATAAATGATAAAAAGTATGGCTAGGGTTTGTGTGTGTGTATACCTCAATAAAATTGTAGCTGTTCAAAATCTCCACCTTTAAGAATAAAACCCTATGCAAATAACTGTTAAGAAATCTAAACCAAAATTAAGGTCTACCACATCATGAGAACTGAAAAAGAACCAACAGCAGAGATAGAGAATAAGCAATATTTAGAAGCAGGTAATAGCTTACCTAACTTAAAGGAATGCACTGTTAATGGAAACAAACAGAACCTGGCATTAAGCCCTGAGGTGAAATTGTATTGCAGGGCTGGCCCCACTGTCCCTTGGAGCCCTGGTTCCTTGCTCATGCAAACTGGGCATTAGAGTAGTCATGCAGCACCTCTTCCTGATCCTGGAGCCTCATCTTAACATTAAACAGAGTCAAAACAGATGAATTTGGGAGCAGGAAAGCAGTTCTGACACTCACAGTTGAAACAACTTAAGCAATACACAGAACAGCTTGATCTGACAAAAAAGAACACAACTAAGAAGCCAACAAGTGTCAAAGTGAAATAAATAGCTAACATCAACATACACATGCTGCTCCAGTCAAGATTACTTCTGAGGAAAAGGAGTTTAAGACAGATTGGTTTCTTCAGTAGGAAATGTAATAAAGGTTATATTGATGCAGAATGTGTCTTTCTGTACACACTATTTCTGTACACAAATAGCACAACAGTACAGATTAATCTGTAACTGAAGAATGTGTACTTCTCCCTCGTACCTCTCAAAGCACTAAATATCAGTTAAGCACTGCAGAGTGTGTATGTATATATATAAAAAAATAAAAGAGTGAGACACCAACACTGCTAATTCATTAATCATTAACTGTAACTAACAGGTACCATCTCATATAAAAATTATTTTTTGGACCGTATTAAATTTGGTTGGAACCACATTATCATGGAATCATAGACCCTTGTCTAAAAATTCCTTGTTCCACATACAATCAGATTCTAGAAGGGCAGGTTCCTGACTAATTTAAATTAATAAAAACACCTTGTATTTTTAAATAGCACCTTGAACCAAAGAAGAGTGCTCAGTTAGTTACCTGTTGAGTAGTAGTCTTTGATGCACCAGACTCACATTGGGCAAAGTTCCACCCAAGTTCACAAACTGGCAATTTTCAAAAGATTATTTCAGGCTTAAGAACCCACACCCAGTGTTTAATATTTTAACCTTGATAGGTTAGTGAGGTAAGTTAGCAATAAAGCTAGTGAAGTTAGCAATAGAAAAGGAATCACTTGCTAATTAACATCTTAGCTCAGATACAAAGAATCAGTCGTTCAATGGAATGTGGCTATCTGGAGATCATACCCTGCTGCTACCCATAGCAACAAGAGAAGAACTAGGCCTTAGAATCAAATACCTGAAGAAATGACAACTTAAAAAATTCCATTTTGAAATTATTAGTTTTAAGATCCCACTAACAGAAAGTAGAATTCCATCCACCTGCTTAAAACAGGTAAGGATAAAACTTCATAGTAAGCTGTCTTCATAAGCAGTTTAAAACCAGAAAACCCAAGAAAATAATTACTGTAATATTAAGTCACAATGTAATTAATTCCATTACAGAGCATGTGTATTCAGTGATTACAAAATTAAGAACACATATATACTGCCTCAAGAATTAAGGCCAGGCAGGTTAACATAAAGCTCCTTGAAGCTTTAAAGGAAAGATACATGTTAAATATGTCATTTTCCTCTAAAAAAAGAAACAAGTGCATTACATTAATATGGTGTGTAAACAGAAAACTAGTAACTATAAACATTTGTTAATTCCTCCAGTACACCTACCTCCTGGTATCTCTGTCAACTGGTAAGTTCTCCAGTTTTAATTTCCTGATCTGTTGATGAATTCCTCTTCCCTTTCTCACTTGGCTTTGAAATATTTGAATAGATAAAGTAACCAGAGGAAACAGTTACATTAATTTTATACTTCCAGTCTTACTGAAAAACAAGAAAAATCTGGGAAGAAAGAATACTCCAAACCTTCATATTCTTAAATTTGAAATACTATCAGAAAGACAATGGAATGACTTGAGGCAAAAAGGAAATCACACTTTGCTGAATAAAAATAAATTAAAAAAACACACCTTTCCCCAAAGAAACCTGCTTCTCAATACTGTACTGTGCAGAGTTGTTACATTTTTCCCATCATTGCAGAATGTTCCCATTCTTTGCATTGACAAAAGAAAACCAGAAGTATCACAGGAAGTCTTTTGGCAGAGCTGCATTTAAGCTACCTTGTTGATACCACACTGCAACATTTAAGTGACACCTGACTCACACTGGCATACTTTTTAAACACACCACCTGTACAATGGAATTGTATTTAGATTAAAATACAGTTTTCAGACTTTTGTGGTATTTAAGTCAAGACATTCCTTAAGCTTAAAAGAACTCTGACATTTTTTCCAAAGTAACTTTATTGCACAATTTATAAACAAAATTTAATATACGGGAATGTCCTTAACTATTAATACAATCTATAATATGTAAATTACAATTTCACATTAAACCTGTAAGAAATCTTAACACAAGAAAGTTTAGTTTATTCTAATGCCCCTACTAACAGCTATTCGCAGTAATTCCCATTTTCAAGGTCTGCCTTCTGAAACACATTGCCATGTCCCTGCCAATGGAATTCCTTTTCCAAAATTGTTTGTGAAATGTAGCACTTCAGACTAGATAATACCAATCAGTACTGAATTTCTAGTTTTTCAGTGTTAAAGTTCCTGTTATCCCATATAACATACAGTACGTATATTTTACAAGGCACACATTACAGTACCTACATCACAGCAGTGTGAATTACAGCAACTTAATTTAAAAAAAGCTGTACAGAATACAAAGTTTACTTTTTCACTATTTAAATATTTTCACTTTCATTTATATTGTAATTGCAAGTGTCGTTATGCTGCAATTAACAACCTATTTGCATAATTATAAAATTACATCTTAAGAAGTTCACGTCAGTTCTCAGCAGAAAGTCAACTTACAAAATGTCAGTTCAGAAGTACAATTCTTGAAATACTTGCAGAATAAAGTTAGCTTGAAGCTTTAATTTAGATGCTCTTTCCGTTCCAGTGATATAAAAAGTTTAAAAAATTCAGAGGGTATTTTCAAGTTTTGAACATGGACTAATGCAAGCTCAAAAAGCAAAAAGAAACCAAACTGGAGTATGGTTAGGAATATTTGCAAATATTTGAGTGGAAAATTTGTGACCATTAACTATTTTCAGCCCAAATGATAACTGTCTTTATACAACCAAACACTCCACACATTTTCTGAAGAGTATCTCTTTGATTAAAAAAGGATTAAGAAAGGGAAAAATAATTATAAGCTATATACATTATTAAATTGATTTTTCAACAGTTAAATACAGATTTACACACTAAGCCATACTGGCTTTTAGATGATATACACGAGAAAAGGATGTTGCTTATCTGTCCTAACGTCTATGACAAATTGGACAACTGTGCCGTAAGCCAAGCTCAAATGGGTGTCATATGCTATGCATGTTCCTTAACAAACTGAAGTGTAGTAGAGAAATTCTCAAGGTCTAGTCCCCAGTGTAACTAAAGTATTTTGTAGCCAGTCAAGAAAAGTAACCCAAATGTGCATATCTGCACGTGCACATGCTTTTTACTTCAGATCCTGTCTGTGATAAAAGACCTTAGACTTACGGCATCATCGAACTTTAACAAGTACAGTAATCATAGAATCACAGAATGGTTTGGGTTGGAAGGGACCTTAAAGACCATCTAGTTCCAGACCCCTGCATGGGCAGGGACACCTTCCACTAGATCAGGTTGCTCAAAGTCCCATCCATCCTGCCCTTTAACACTTCCAGGGATGGGGCTTCCACAGCTTCCTGTTCAGTGTCTCACCACCCTCACACTAAAGAATTTCCTCCTAATGTCTAACCTAAATCTCCCCTCTTCCAGTTTTGATCCATTACCTTTTGTCCTCTCACTATAAGCCCTTGTAAAAAGCCCCTCCCCAGCTTTCCTGTAGCCCTTTCAGGTACTGGAAGGCCACTATGAGGTCTCCCCAGAGCTTCTCTTCTCCAGGCTAACAGCCCCGATTCTCTCAGCCTGTCCTTGTAGGAGAGGTGCTCCAGCCCTCTGATCATCTTCGTGGCCCTTCTCTGGACTTGCTCTATGAACTCCATGTCCTTCTTGTGTTGGGGGCAGTCTTAAAGTAAGCAAGATTTATGCTGATACTCTTAAATGCTACACTTGAGTATTTCTCACTCAATAGCCTCAAGCTAAAGGAGTATTATTTGTCAATATATATTTAAAAAATCATTAGCTACAATAGCAGTTAATTTTCAAAACACTATTTATGTGTAAGAGGGTTAAGATGGGTTTCCCAAACACTATTTAGACTGCCTAAACTCAGCTCTTTAAGGATTCTGCTATACACAGAAATACACTGTTGCACTCCAATTGTAATATCCCTTTTCCCAAGTTGTCCCATGCGCGTCTCAACTGCAACATATTGAAGTGTTTCTCTCTGCTACATAGAAGCATATTACACTTGTAGATAAGAAACTACAGCACCCTTACTGAGATTATCACTTTGTAACTCTAAGTACACCTTATAACTCTGATTTCATCACTTCAAAAACTCAAGAGAAGCAGCTAAAACGATATTCAGACCAAACTACATCTTAACAGCCAATTCAAATAAAGTAATTCCGTTCAGATACGCCTAATGTTTAAAAACAATTTTGGCTGTTCTTGATCAAAAATCTGTAAAGAAACTGATTTACTTTTTTTTTTAGGATTGTGTATGAAACTCTTTAATGTTTCCAAGCTAATAAGACTATGCTAAATATAATATTTTAAAAAATATTCTGAGATAAAATCTTGTTAGATGTATAAAGGGAAGTGCACAAGTACATTTACAAAGCTGCCTACACTCTCCAAACCAGATTTAGAAGAACACTAAAACTCGTAACACATCAGATTGAAATCAGTATCTATAAGCACTAAAAGCAGCAATAACTGGTTACTCAGTAACAGGCAGTGGAACATCTTCAAGTGTCAGTAGTAAAATTTCAAATGAATAATCACTAGTGCTAACTCACCTTTATTCACATTTGCCATGAAACTAAAAGGGACTGCTTTTAAGGACAAGAACTGTGAGGTCAAGCCATCTGACATAGTTCATCTTCTGTAGCAGTATACTGGGATGTTCAAACAGCATTTAGAAGTTGTAATTGTGGCGCTATAAATGGCTTCATCTAGTAGTTGAACTGCTAATTAATATCAACAGTTGTTGTTAAAATAAACTCGGTTAATGATCAGAGAGTTTACTGGAAGTACAGATGAATAATGAAGACTGCACACACACATACTGGCTCCTATACCCCGTGTTTTAAAAATGCAGCGTAGAGGCACAGCAGCCAAGAAGAGAAGATGGACTGTGGAAGAACTGCAATGAGAGGTAAAAGCAGACTTTTATGAAAACAAAAGCTTCAAGTGCTTCTGTTATTATCAGCTTGTTGCCTGTTGTCAGGGTCTGTGAGGCTGGCCCGCCTCATCTACCATGTTAAGTATGTAAGTAGCCACATCATCTTCTGTAGGTGCGTCTGAGACCACCCAAGAATCACCTGCCCCAGTCACCTGCCGACGGCAGACAGGACAGCTTCTGTGACGGTCACTCCTGTTAGGAAGTCAGAAAAATTAGTATTTTTCATTGATGGCCAAAAAAAGCCAAAAGACCCGCCTCAAAAAGAAAAAAAACCAACCAACCAACCCAGTGAGATCTTGAAGAATGATCAGGTTAACTGGATCAAACCACAAATATATTTTTTGTTTGTTTAAAAACTTTTTGAGGAAGATTGGCCAACAGTTCTGAATGTGGGTCCATTCTTGGACAAATTTGGAGGAATGTTCCTCATAATCAAGCTTGTTCAGGTTAAACAGAGTAATACATCCAGCTACCTTTCCAGGCAGTTTAAATGGAAATCCATGGTCTAAACTAATTCTTGCTATCTTCAAACATTCAGCTGAGCTACTTCAGAAACCAGTCCCCATAAGCTTCCTATATAAAGAGAAAAAGGAACTGCTTTCCTGGGTCATTCAGCCCTCTCAAGTTTAGAACTGGTCCCTCAGGTTTTCATCCCCATCCAACAACTAACCTGGGGGTCCCAAACAACTATACTTCTGAACTGGGGGCCTCTGTTATATGCCTAGGTTAAGAAGAAATTAACCTTAATAATTGAATTTAAAAAAAAGAATGGTATAAGTGCAGTTGATTCATTAGCCCAGATTCCTCTGATAGCTGTTTTGCAAATAACTGAAAAGATAGTTCAACTTGCCTTCATATTTGCATAGTCTTACAAAACCATTTATTTTTTCCTTAAAAAGCATTCAATGAGATTATGTAAAGTATAACATGCCAGCATCAGCAAATATCCTGTCTTCTCTAGTTTTTAAGCAAGTAGTTCAATTGTACAAGAATAAAAGAAGAAATTACAAAACAAATGCTGAAAGCACCTTCACATCTGTTTTTCCAAAATGAAATTTTTCACAAGATGTCAGCAAATTCTGAAATGACTTTCCTTCTGCTGCAGTCTGATTTTACTCAAGTTTTTTATGTATCATAAGTACATTAGCTTGCCGAGATCTCCAGACATTAAATTATATATGGGAACTAAGGAATATTGCAGACCAAACGAAAAATGTCAGATAACCAGTACATATGATAAAACAATGAATATCTTTTAATATGGATTACCATTTATCAATGCATTTCTGGCAGAAACTGTGAGCACATGGTAAGATCAAATCAGCACGCCCATCCATGCAGATGCAACATTCCTCTTCATCTGTCAACTGTTTAACCCTGCAGAAGAGAAGACAATATTTTCTCCCAGGTAACTAAAAAGTTTTATATTTATGCCCTAGTACCTACACTAGTTACTACATTTTTCATAATAGTGATGGAGAGAAAGGAACACCTGTGCTTATCTGCAAGGAACTTGTAATGTTGTGAATGGACTAGTTACATCATCCCAGCCCATGTCAGCAGACATAGCCCAAAGCTACCAAGAAACAGCAGTAAGTTAGAACATGCATTTACTTTTTGTGTTGTGTGGTGCTTTTGGTGCTGCAAAGGGTTATGCAAATCCTTTTTGATATCAACAAGGAAGTGTGAGAAGTTGTAGCTATTACATGTCACATGACTGGGCAAAAGAACAGAAACACTGTTTACACTACAGGCAGAGGAAGAATCTATCTTCCTTTCAGAGAGTCAAGCTGAAATATTTCATCAGGAACTTTGTCAAGTTTCTGTGTACTGGCTTATATCTTAGATGAAAACACAGGTCAAGAGGATCGCTACTAAAATGCACATTCGCTAATTTCACATGCCATGAAAATGCCAAGAGTGAAACTGCTCATTAGATTGAAAAAGCTGGTTTTAGCCCACAATACACTCCTCACAATTGTTCCTTCAAATTAGGCCTCTCTGTCAAGCTGACTGGTACCACAGCTTTTCCAGTTAAGCTCTTAGGTGTTCTTGTTGGGGAAGAAAAAACACCAGAAGTTCAAAAATCTAATCAATTCCTGGGACAGAGATTTTATCTGTCTTCTCTTTTTTTCCCCCCAAATAATAGATGACTGTATCTAAAGTTCCTAACAGTAGTATCTTGAGTATTTGCATTATCAAGACTTCTCAAGCGTGAAAAGAAACAGGTAACCCTAGGCTTTCACTGTCCTAAGTAGACATGCAAAGTTCCCTAATTTTATAGACATAGCTCACTCCCAAGACAGCCATGTAAGTGTTCTGAAATTTTTAGGTTTTCCAAAAATCCTGATTTGGGAACCCCTTCTGTGACTTGGGGCACAGAGGTAGCATTCTAGAAAGAATGGCATTTCAGGAGATACAATCCACGTTTGTGACTATTGACCATTACCTTGGGAGCCTGGTATCTTGGGAGCTTGGCATCTTGAGAGCTTGTCAAATACAGAGTAATTTTTTAACTGCACAAATTAGCCAGCGAATGGACAGCAATTAACATGCTTTTGTTTTATCGTTCAGTAGGTCCTTGGAATTTCCTCTTCATTTACTTTTTGATAAATCACTTTAGAATGCTAGGAGGCTTTTCTTTTAGAATTACAGATGGTGATTTGCAAACAGTGAGGACAAAAGTTTACAACAACTATATTTTGATTAGCTCACTACGTTCTTTGGACTTGCCGCCTTTCATTTCCATTCCCCATGCAACTCTGAGTCCTAATTTTTGAGATTTGCTGATGTACATACAATTATACGTAAAATGGATGCTCTATTTATAAAGTTTCTTGAATTTAAGATTTCACCATAGAACAAAGTTTCTGAAGAAATGGTAAAATACAAGTGTGACAAACTAAGGAAATGCTTGCCTCTTCAATTTAAGAAAACATAAAACACAGATAGTTTGGAATGCTCTGAATAGGAAGAGGATGTTCTAGAGAAATGGGGTATTTATTCCAGTGGAACAACTTAACATAAGAATGAAAGAGAATATTTGCTATTTTTGGATAGTGACTGCTAGCTTAAAAATGTCTAAAGGTGAGAAGAATCTGGGCAAATGGGAGGATATAAATTTCCTCAGTGTAAAATACTTTAAGGTGCTTCAGCCTGTATTTTCCTTACTGATTAAAAACATGGGTAAGATACAAGCTAAATTCCAGCATATTAGTAGCCTATGAGAAAAGTATACACTTTTTTTGTTGCCATTATTTGTCACTGGTACTACCTCAAGCAATGAAGGCTACAAACACAAAGGATGCTCATCTCCCCTACCTCAAAGTCTGAAAATTGAAAAAGAAACTCACCCAGGAAACCTTGTATCTATTTATAGACTTCAGTACTATATGAAGTTGTTTTGCATAAGCATCTGTTTTTTGTTTTGTTGTCGTTTTTTTTTGTTGGTCTGTTTAAAGCAAAAGGCCATTTCCAGATACAAGTTTTAGTATAACTGTATTTATCTTTGAGAAATAGCAGGAAAATATACTTTCCCAAACATGTCCACAATTTGCTACCTAATTCTAGCATTTTAATAACTCAGAGCAGCCAATAATTTAAGATTATTTGTTCCCAAACAAGAGAAACAGGAAATCATATGAAAAGAACATAATCTGTAGTCCACTGACTCAGAAAAATCAATGGGCTATATCTGTAGAACAACATAAATTACCCCTTTCTCATTCTTTCACCTGGAGTGTGGCAGTTAACAAGCTCAGCAACTTATTCTATTAAAATAACTGGTTACTGGCTCTTCACTGGTTGACAAGAACTAAACCATTTACTACTTTTTCTTATAAAATCTACCTCTACCTCACTTAATGAGTTAGAACTCTGAACTAGTTAAAAGTAAGGAATTACTGGTAGCAACATTTCCACATAGAGAAAGGGTGACAGGCTTCTTGCTATTGCACTCAGTTTGAACTGAAGTTATTGCAGGTGTTGACCTCACTCTTTTGCCTTTCCTCCAGATAACAAAGCAGGTTGTCAACATGTGTGAGACAGTTCACATTTTTCCAGTCTTACAAGTTAAATTATTACTGTAATTGACGAGTTTCTAGTGGCAACAGATGGGAACTTTCACATGCCAAAATATAAAGAGGAAGAGAAAATTTAAGTAGAACAATAACAAAAATCTGTTTAAACAAACACTGTCAAAACCCCTAGATTTGTAGCTGCAGCCAATTCCATTTCCTCCTGTTTCCTTATTGAGGAGATTCAACATATACCGTGTTTAAACTAGAATTAATCATTAAAACAATGTTTTGAAGCTAAGGTATGGTAGCAACAACAGAATTTCACTCCAGTACACTAGAGCTCTCCTGGGAGAAGTGAATGTGTGCTATTCATACTTGTGATGATACAAAGTCTGTACCTGCCAAAAGCATGCAGTTTCGATCATAAGGCATTTGTAGTTGAAGTTTTACACATAATTTCCAAAATATTTACGTTGTAACTGTGGTCAGAAGCTAGAGTGCATCAAAATACCTTCCCATCCACAAGCTGGCCTGACAAGATGACACAGACATCAAACTCTCAGCAGCTTCTTCAGCAGTACCACTCTGTGCAAGCACTCCTGCTGCTTGACTGGTGATATCTTTATAAAGTTGAACAAACTGATACAAGTTCAAGATTCGGGAAGCTTCCACGATGCCACTTGTTTTATTTATCTTAAGATATAAGAATTGATAACAATTACATATCAGATTTTTACTTGACACTACTCAAAATTCTTTTGATGCACTGCGATTCTCATAGCAGTAGCCAACTTCCCAAGAGTCTATCCCTCCATTAGCAAGTTGCAGTCTGCTTCAATAATAGTTACGACCTCCAAACACAGCTGTTTCATCATGAGGAACCACCACAGTCAGAACTAGATTTTTCGGGCAAGACAATTACCAGCACTGCTCAATTGGATTAAGTCATGAGTAGAAACCTCATGGCTAAAAAAAAAGCACTAAACTTAGAACAAATAACAGAATAATCTGTAATTTCATGTTTGAACTTAAAATAGCCTACAGTGATGGCTGTCTTAATAAAAACTAAGAGCAAACAGAAAATTACAAACTGTCTGCTTCAAACAAAGCTTGAGAGTTGGCTTGGTTGAAACCACATTTTAAGATTGATCAGTGGATTCAGGACAATATAAGTGTGTTATTTGATAGCATACAGAGGAGAAAGACCTCTCATTAGAGAGAGCCAACTTCATAATTTTTCTCATGGTCTTCAAAGTAAGTTATATGTTCAGCTTTTAGATGGGCTATCTAAGGAAATAGTTACACTATTTCAACTAATAATGCTTGGAATTTCTGTCTAACTTAACCACTATCAAGCCATATAGTTTCCAGTTTGCTGTCCTGTTTGATTACCATGGCTTGACCTCACAAATCAGATGCATTTATAACTAACGGGCTGTAAGTGCACCATTGGAAGATATAATTCCTTTAAACCTAGTTTAAAACAGAAAATGTTTTTGTCACCCTGCTTTTTTGCAAAAACTTAGAATTTAGACGTATTTTATCTTAAATAGTATCATTGAATACATCATCTGTATAAAAATATATACTCAAAATATATGTAGCAAGTGTTGGATTTTACCAATAGAAGTGACAGTCCCCAAACACCTGTTCACAAAACCCCCACCAAATTAAAATGTGCAACAATCTTACTTTAGTACATATTATCCGAACGATCACCTTCCAGAAAGCAGAAGCATCAGAACCAGGCTGCACTTCAAATAACAGATGTTTGTCTTGTCCAGAAGCCAATTTTTCAGTACTGAAATAAAGAAACATCAGTTTTACATCATGTTTTAAAGATGCAAACCTCAGCTATTGTTCACCTATGTGCTCTTTATCCTTGAAGAGGTATTAGCAATTCTGCCCAGAGACATGAAATTAAAGTGTAATGACCTTCTTATCATGTCATTAAATATAAAATGCACAGGCTATTTCACTTTAAATTGCAGGGTAAACTTCAGAAAATTATGTGCAAGTGTTTTGATCCAAAATCAGCAAGTGTCCTTTACAGACATTTTAACTTGTATATATCTTTCACTGTTTATTAAAGTAATCATACCATCTTTTGGTCCAATCTAAAAATATTATTTCCTTACTATGTATGTAAAAAAAACATGCAAGTACCATAATATGCAGATGACACGTATTTTTGTTAGTATATATTAATGAGGCAGACAGGTGAAAGCTTCAGGTGACCAAGAGATTTTTGGGTGTTTTATATTTTTTAAAAATGGAACACAGACTCAAAGGTCTATTCCATAAGAATCAGAACAAGCTATGTTAAATTCAGGCTTAAGTAAACACTGCAAAGAAATTGAAAAAAACCTCACTTGAACAACAATGATATTTTTGAGTTGATTATACTGAGATATGCTTAAATTCTCAGGCAAAGCATAAAGTAATGTTCTTTAAAATGCATTTATGTGTCTACCTAGAAGACAGCTATCTGTTCTTGACGGTCATTCATAAAAGTATGACACCGTATAAGATAATTTCTAAACTGATTATGAATCACATTGTAGTTAAATATTCAACACTATCAAAAGCCACACACTACAAACTCCTTTTCAGCCTTAATTTTCCACTTCTTATTATTTTATACCATAAATACTGGGTAAAGATGACAACTCTGCTTTTTGTTAATTTCCTTTTAGCATTGATGTACCAGTCAAACAAAAAGCAAGCTATGAAAAATCTTACTTCTGCAACCTTTTGGTGGGGATTACCTTGATCACTGGTTGCAGTAGTCTCATATTTAATGAGGAAGAGCATTCCATGCCCAGAGAGGTGGGAGAAATGGTCACAAACAGTTCTGTCTCAGGACCTACCTTCCTAGTATATCTGTACTTTATAGAGCTCATATTGCTAGTTCCAACCAAAAGTGATGGGCAGAGAGGAAGCCGCATTGCATCTTTAGGTGGTTGGCAGAGAGGGAAAG